TTATTGGGCCTCATTGTGGCCCAATGATGGAGACCTTGACCCAGCGCTGGGGCTATAAGGTATTCATTCTCATACTCATACTCACACTTGCTTGCACTTTTCCTGAAACTTACTTTGGCATCGGAGTGTCTTGTAGGTACCCCCTCCCATCTCACTTTCAACCTTAGCTCGACGTAAGGTCTTAAGGATCACTTTGATAAGATACGATCAATTTCTATTATTACTAATTTTAAAAAAATAATTTAAAATTTTATAATATTCAATAATAATTGTAGTTATAAAGATGGTATTATATTTTTATGAATGTTAATTGTGAATATAAATTAATAAAAAAAAATTATTTGACAGTTTCTTTGTAGAAATTCTTTTAGAGTTACATATTGTATAAAATATTATTATTATTATATTATTATTATTATTATTATTATTATTATTATTATTATTATTATTATTATTATTATTATTATTATTATTATTAATAACAATAATAATAATAATAATAATAATCATAATAATAATAATAATATTAATAATAACAATAATAATAATAATAATAATAATAATAATAATAATAATAATAATAATAATAATAATAATAATAATATATAATAATAATAATAATAATAATAATAATAATAATAATAATAATAATAATAATAATAATAATAATAATAATAATAATAATAATAATAATAATAATAATATAATAATAATAATAATAATAATAATAATAATAATAATAATAATAATAATAATAATAATAATAATAATAATAATAATAATAATAATAATAATAATAATAATAATAATAATAATAATAATAATAATAATAATAATAATAATAATAATAATAATAATAATAATATAATAATAATAATAATAATAATAATAATAATAATATAATAATAATAATAATAATAATAATAATAATAAATAATAATAATAATAATAATAATAATAATAATAATAATAATAATAATAATTAATAATAATAATAATAATAATAATAATAATAATAATAATAATAATAATAATAATAATAATAATAATAATAATAATAATAATAATATAATAATAATAATAATAATAATAATAATAATAATAATAATAATAATAATAATAATAATAATAATAATAATAATAATAATAATAATAATAATAATAATAATAATAATATAATAATAATAATAATAATAATAATAATAATAATAATAATAATAATAATAATAATAATAATAATAATAATAATAATAATAATAATAATAATAATAATAATAATAATAATAATAATAATAATAATAATAATAATAATAATAATAATAATAATAATAATAATAATAATAATAATATATAATAATAATAATAATAATAATAATAATAATAATAATAATAATAATAATAATAATAATAATAATAATAATAATAATAATAATAATAATAATAATAATAATAATAATAATAATAATAATAATAATAATAATAATAATAATAATAATAATAATAATATTAATAATAATAATAATAATAATAATAATAATAATAATAATAATAATAATAATAATAATAATAATAATAATAATAATAATAATAATAATAATAATAATAATAATAATAATAATAATAATAATAATAATAATAATAATAATAATAATAATAATAATAATAATAATAATAATAATAATAATAATAATAATAATAATAATAATAATAATAATAATAATAATAATAATAATAATAATAATAATAATAATAATAATAATAATAATAATAATAATAATAATAATAATAATAATAATAATAATAATAATAATAATAATAATAATAATAATAATAATAATAATAATAATAATAATAATAATAATAATAATAATAATAATAATAATAATAATAATAATAATAATAATAATAATTTAATCTAAAATAATAATATGTTAAAGATTATGAAATCCATATCCACTGCGTTGACATAAAAGTAATCTCTTTGTGCAGACATCTTGTCAAATTAAGTTCTTATCATACAAAATATCAGCTTATCATAGAAAATATGTTGTGATGATACATCTTTGATGAGTGATTTAGTGAACCTCAAAATTCAAATTCATAAACTTTTTTTTATTAAAATAAATCGTTGTAAATATTTTTTATTCTTAAATAAATATATTGAATATCAAATAAACAACGAAAAATCATTTAAAAAAAGTCCCATGTAAGATTTTTCAATAAAGTTATTCTTATTTATTGATAGTGTAAATCTAAATCATACAAAAAAAATTAATTATGATATAAAGCTAATAATGACAAATAAATGAATTTTATTTGTTTTTAATAGAAACTAATTCTGACATAAAAATTAGTAATAACAGCTAAAATAATTTATAGTTTTTATTACGGAACGGATAAAAATCAAACATGATAGCTTCCCCTGCCATATATATCTTGAGAAAAGACCTTTATTTCTTGAAGGAAAAAAAGGGTCGAAACACTCTGTATGAGATGCTATTGAATCAATATTCATTCATTTCGAAGCTAATAAACAGTTTCATCAATAGGAGGTCCTAAATATTGAATACCATCCATTTGACAATTTTGTGGCATCTGAATTTCTTCTAACAATGCATAACTATCATTTTCATCTTTCACCTTACCGATCTCTTTTTGATGTGCATCATCACAAGGGAAATCTCGGTAATATGAACAGTCTCTGTCATCTTGTTTTGAATAAGGTGGACCGATGACATCAAGAACAGCACATGGAGTTATAGCTGTGAACTCATGAATGTTTCCTCCTGTTGTTGGATACAATACCGATGTATGACATGGTGATGTCAACACTTTGTTTGCTTTTAACTTTGCCATTCTCACTGCAAAATCAAAATTATCTCTTTCAGCAACCAATAGTAACATGCTTGATGATTAATTTAGTGATGGTAGTCTTACATTTGGAGTTGGGAGAGGCGTCAGGAACCCAATCATAAGACTTAATGTGCATCTGTCCTAACAGAAGCTTGCTGAAAACAGTCATGCCAGGGTGGTTATGGAGGGGAATCACTCCTCTTTCAGGTAGGAAAAACATACACACCTACACACACACAAATGGACACATTAATTAAAGACAAAAAACTGATCTGACGACCAACCATGGTCTAGATCAAATTGAAGCCAGAGCGAAACTCTACATGGACTAATCAAACACATGAATGGTTGGCACCAGAGAGTTTCGAAAGAATAAATTATAATTACATTATTATGGTTTATTTAAAGAGCAATGTTGAACTGGAAACACTTACAGAGAAATTGTGACACTGGTAAACAGTGGTGTATGTGACCCTTTGATTCTCTTTAATAATATTTCCAGGCTTGAAAAACTGCAGATCCCTACTAAGTCCAACATCTTCCGGCTTCATGTTATCTAATCATTAACAACAATTCAAAAAAACAAAAATCAACATCATATAAACTAAATCTCAAACAGACATCACATGTATTATGTACATGAATTAAACCATACCAAGAATGTGACAAAGTTTGTGAACATCTTGTGTTACAGGAACAGTTTCAGGACCTTTGAATGTTTGTTTGCATGAATGAAATAGCTGCTGAAGTGACTTAGGAACATGTCTCTTAACTCTACAATAAGGTTTGTTCCTGCTCTTTGCATTGATCCTTTTCACATAACCAACTCTTCTTTCTCTTACTTTATCAACCAAACCTATCTCCATATTTAGCCCAACTCCTATGTCAATAACTGAATCTCAATCCTTCAACACTTTTATACTTGATAAAAGAAAAGATTTTTAAATGGCCCACTGGATGAAATTTAATTCCACTCTTGGGTTATGAAAAAAAAGGAAAAGAACTATGAACTGAAATACCCAGAATTCAGAAACTATAAAAAAAAAAAAAATTCTTTAAAAAGTATAATTGTTGAGTCAAATGAGGAAGAAGTAAAATGATAGTATTGATTATAAGAGGATTGTGAAAAGTTTACAACTGTAATAAAGGATAATATTTTGATGATGGATAGGATTAAAATTGAATATAGTATAGTTATAAATATATTTATATGCATAAAGAGATAGAAAGAGAAGAAAATATCTATCTAGAGTATGAAAACTATGGGCTATTTTGATGGTATTGTTAGATTGACAACAGTAAAGTTAGACCAAGAAAAATAAAAAATAAAATCTGAAAAAGAAAAAAGTGAGAAAAAAAATGTTTTGGTTGTAGTTAAATTCTTGTCCCCATAGATTTTTTGGAAACTAGCGGTTAAAGTGATCACTGTTTTGTGAGATACAATAGCATCAAATTAGTAGTATCTTTCTCACTTTCTTTTTGAGAAAGAAATCTGATTCTTCAAAATTCTAACGAATGTATTGTATTATAAGAGGGATTCATGTAATAATTGTTTTTATCTTTAAATGAAGCACTACAATAATAATTTCTCTTTACCAAAATTAATTATAATAAAAAATAAAATGAGATAAGAGTTTATAAATAATTAATAAAAGATCAGTTGGAACATGTCCATGTTCCATATTGAATTAAAAAAAAAAATTCATTTAGTCCCACATTGCTCATGTGAGAAATATTAACCATCTCACTTTATTATATAAGGAAGTCACTTGTTTCCTTACAAAACACACCAAAAATATTTTATTAGTTTTTCCTTCCTCACTCTCATAACTCTGCGTCTTTTGAATTGTCGAAGCGCCAACTTCTTCCCCTTTCTTTCTACTCGTTGAATTTTCCGAGTATTTTCTTGAATTCTCTTTATAGAGAATAATGTTAATTTCTCCTCGTTTGAGTTGAGAAATTTTCAAGTATAATTTTTTTATTCTATTTAGAGAATTATTCGAATTTCTCTTTGTTTGAGAAATCTTTGAGTGATCAAAAATGATCATTATTGAATTCTCTTTGAAGAATTATTGAAATTTCTCTTGGTTTGAGAAATATTTATGACTGGTAAATATATCAGATACTACGGTGGTATTTATACCATATTTGAATGGTATTAGTACCATTAGAGGGTGTATTTCTAGACCGATTATCTATCGTGCAAGTAGTAATCGTACAGTATAGAACTGGGCTGTTTTATCCTGGAGGCGGCGTGGTAGTTCGACTGCTTTGCATAATTTTGGGCAGTACCGCGAAACGTCTTAAAGAGAGCGAACTGATCCGCGACTCAACCCGGTAATTTCTTCAGTGGCAACATTTTTAAAATCATGAACCAACAATTTTAAGACGTTTCAAACTGCCATGGCTATTGAAGAAATTATCGGTACTTCTAAGATTGTCTCGGACAAACCGTTCTAGTTTGAAGGAGTGCATTTCAAAAGTTGGCAACAAAAGTGAGGTTTTTCCAAACCATGAAGAAGTTTGTCAATATTTTGACCGATGACATTCCTACTGTTCCACTTGGATCAGTTGAACAAACGAATAGAAAGAAATCTATGAACTTAGATTGAATTATTAATTTCAATGAATCTGAATTTACAACATAGATTAAAGAGAAGGATTTACAGCTAAAGGAAGAAATCTCCTTATAGAAAGAGAATGATTATAACATTCTAAATGGACTCGCAAATGATCTATATGATTATTACAATAATTGCGATACTCCAAAACAAGTTTACGAGGCTATGAAAAACAAATATTGAAGAAGCTGGAGAACAAAAGAATGATTTTAGCAACTACGAAAAGTATCAGATGGTAGATGAAAGATCTGTGGATACTCAAAGTTATGAACTTCAAAAGAATTCTCATGAGGTCATCACTAAAGGTATGTATTTAGATGTATTTTTTAGAATCTGATTATTCTCCTTGAGTTAAAAAAAGAGGAATCTTAGAGACAATATCAAGAAGAAAAGTCTTGGTTGTTTTAAACAACAAATAAAAATTCGGTGTAGTTCTGAAGCCATTTGGAAAATGATTAAAGAATCAGAACTGCAATGTTGTGATCCGAATTAAGAATGAGATCCTTTCTATGGTCTCAATTGCTCCAACTAGGCAACAATCACCGCCTCAAAGAAATGATGTTGTTTTCCATTGTTTTAACCATGGAAAATCATGTCGTAAGATTAAGAAATGTAGAAGAGGCTTGAACCTGGTGCTACCCCTAATGCATAGGTCAAACTGACTAATGGGAAATTTATTTCTATGATAATTGAAATCAACACGGTTGATGAATTTGATGATTGGTGGATAGACACTGGTGTTTCTCATCGTGTCTGTTATGATCGTGTTATGTTTAAAACATACACGAATACTAAAGATAAGAAAGTGTTGTTGGGATATGTCCACACCACTAATGTTGCTAGAATTGGAGAAATGGAGTTGAACTTCACCTCCAGAAAGACTTTAATCTCGAAGGACGTCATACATGTTCTTGAGATTAGGAAGAATTTTGTTTCTGGTTTTCTTTTATATAAGGCATAGTTTAGTCAGTCCATTGGGGTAGATTTGTACACCATTACAAAGAATGACATTTTTGTGAATGAAATTGATATGTTTAAAAACTTTGTAAAAAATTTAAAAATCAATTATTAAAGGATCTGATCCCCTAGACCTTATACACTATGGTATATGTGAATTACATGGAACTTTAACTAGAAATAGTAAATGTTATTTTATTGACTATTATCCTGATTATACTTATGTATATTTAATGAAGAATAAAAATGAAGCACTTCACATGTTTAAGATGTATGTAACTGAAACTGAGAATCAACTTAGTAAGAAGATTAAGAGACTTCGTAGTGATAGGAGAACTGAATATGATTCTAGTTTGTTTGATGAATTTTATACATGGAATTGTACATGAAATGACTGCACCATACTCTTTTGAAATAAATGGTAAAGCAGAAAGAAAGAATATAACTCTTATTGAACTTGTTGTTGCAATTATATTAAATTTTGGTGTTGCTTCTCACTGGTGGGGGAAATTTTGTTGACTATTTGCTATGTCCTGAATCGAGTTCCCAAGTTAAAAAGTAATATCTCTCCTTATGAGATATTAAAGAAAAGACAACCAAAATTGTCTTATTTAAGAACTTGGGTTTGTCTGGCATATGTCAGAATTCAGGATACGAAGCGAGTTAAACTTGCTAATAGAGCCTATGAATGTGTGTTCATTAGGTGTGAAGCAAACAGTGAGGCATATAGGTTCTATGACCTAAATGCAAAAGTGATCATAGAATCAAATGATGTTGAATTCTATGAAGAAAAAAAAAATTTCCTTTCAAATCGAGAAATAGTGGGGGCACTCAATCGAGTCACATTCATGTGATAAGAAGCACAAAAAGCAACGACGATGTAGAAACAGAACTTCGAAGAAGTAAAAGAGTAAGAGTTTCTAAAGACTATGGGAAGAATTATGCGACCTATAATGTAGAGGAAGATCCAATGAATCTTCAAGAAGCCTTGTCATCTCTGGATGCAGATATCTGGCAAGAAGCTATTAATGATGAGATAGATTCTCTAGAATCTAACAAGATCTGTCACTCAGTAGACTTGCCTCCTGGATGCAAACCAATCGGTTGTAAATGAGTTTTGAAAAAGAAACTAAAACCTGATGGAACTGTTGATAAATACAAGGCTCGCCTTGTAGCCAAGGGTTTTAGACAAAGAGAGAATATAGATTTCTTCGACACTTTTTCTCCGGTCACCAGAATGACATCCATTAGGGTACTTATCTCAATAGCTGCTATTTATAGTTTAATAGTACACCAAATGGATGTTAAGACAACTTTTTTCAATGGTGAATTAGAAGAAGAAATCTATATGGAACAACCAGAAGGGTTTGTGATCCATGGACAAGAAAACAAGGTTTGTAAGTTAGACAAGTCTCTATATGGACTAAAACAAGCCCCTAAGCAATGGCATGAAAAATTTGATAACTTAATGATATCAAATGGATATAAAGTGAATGAAAGTGACAAATGCGTTTATTACAAATCTGAGAATCGCATTTGCACTATCATATGTCTTTATGTAGATGATCTACTTATATTTGGATCAAACATTCAGACTATTAATGATGTGAAATCTTTGTTGTGCAACAACTTTGATATGAAAGACCTGGGAGAAGCAAATTTAATCCTCGGTATCAAGATCACGAGATCAGAACAAGGCATCTCCTTGGATCAATCACACTATGTGGAAAAGATCTTAAAGAAGTATAATTACTTCGACTGTAAACTTGGGTGCACACCTTATGATCCAAGTGTGAAACTGTTTAAGAACACTGGTGAAAGTGTTAGACAAACAAAATATGCGAGCATCATTGGCAATCTTAGGTATGTCACTGATTATACTAGATCCGACATTGCATATGCAGTGGGATTATTGTGCAGGTTTACGAGTAAACCGAGTTACGAGCATTGACAAGCTATTAAGCGAGTCATGAGGTACCTTAAAAGGACCATATATCTCAGTTTACATTATCAGAAATTTCTGGCTGTACTTGAAGGGTACAGTGATGCAGATTGGAACATATTATTAGATGATTCCAAAGCAACTAGTGGCTATGTATTCCATAGCTAAAGGAGTTGTATCTTAGAAATCAAGGAAACGAAGTATCATGGCTCATTCCATAATGGAGTCTGATATGATAACGTTAGCGATTGCTAGTGAAGAAGAAAGTTAGTTAAAATATGCCTGCTAACTAAGATTTCCTTATGGGAAAAATCCATGCCAGTTGTGTTGATCCACTGTGATAGTA